TTAGCTCAGGGCTGGTCTTCCTCACACACACACACAAAAAAAACTGGCAATCTAAAAGAAAAATATGCAAAGGGCATGAAGAGATGGTTCATAGAAAAAGAAATAGAAATAGTCTTTAAGCATATGAAAAGATGCTCAGTCTCATTCATAATCAAAGTAATGCACGTTAAAACTACACTGAGTTGTCATTTTTCACCTATCAGACTGATACAAATCCAAAGGTTGGTAAAGGAGAGGTACTCTAATGCATTACTTTTTCAACGGTACAACCCTGAAGGAGGACAGCATTCATCATAATCATAAACGCACTGTTAACTGACCCTGCAGTCCTACTTCTGGAAAGATAGCCCACACATATACCTCACATATAGAAAATGATACGTGTACAAGGCTATTCACCACAGGTTGTCTGCGACGGCAAGAGACTAGAAAAACTCAAATAAGCACCAATGGGGGCTAGTTCAATAGACTATGGCAGAGGCATACGACAGAATATTCTGAAGCTGTTAAATAAATGCTTTTTATACACTAATATGAAAAGATCCCAAAGGCATATTAACTGAAAAAAAGCAAGGGCAGAATAATTTATATAGTATGCTACATTTTATATAAAAAGGAGCCTGTATATATAGTATACTGGTACTCGCTTGTTATCTACACAAAGAAACAATAGATACCCATAGGAAACAAAAAAAACAGGTTATCTATGGGGGGAGGGGACAAGTGAGACCAATACAGAATTAGAAATTAGACTACTCAAAATATGCTGCTTTAACTTTTGAACCCTATGAACATTTTCTCTATACAAAAAGACTTTTAAAGTGTTAAAAGTGTAACTCACAGAAAGAAAAGAAAGAGAACTATCCATAAGTCAGAGTCAAAATCCAACAAGCATTAAAAAAAAAAAAATTTTTCTCTGAAATTAGACATTGACAAGCATCACTTAGTGTGGCCATCACTAAAAATTTTTATAAAAGAGGGGCAGGCCCAGTGATGTAGCAGTTAAGTGCACGTGCTCCGCTTCGGCGGCCAGGGGTTCGTAGGTTCAGATCCCGGTCGGGGACCGAGGCACCACTTGTCAAGCCATGCTGTGGCGGTGTCCCACATATAAAGTAGAGGAAGACGGGCATGGATGTTAGCCCAGGGCCAGTCTCCCTCAGCAAAAACAGGAGGATTGGCATCAGACGTTAACTCAGGGCTAATCTTCCTCACACACACAAAATAAATAAATAAATTATAAAAGACAATGTAATTTTTTTCAATCGAGCTAAAGCATATGATTAGAATAATCTATTAAAAAGCTATTTGGAGGGGTGAGGAATTAGAAGAGAGAACAGGAAGGTGCAATGAGAAGGATGTTGTAGTCTAATGGTTCTCAAAGGACAGTCCCTGGACCAGCAGCATCAGCATCACCTGAAAA